ATTGGATGAAGTAGACATCCCCTGTAATCTATTGATCATGTTTCATGAAGCTGTAGTGAATAATACCAGTGCTGGACCACTAAACAGACACCATTAGCTTTTTTTCATGAATATTTGGTTTGGGAATGTGTTTTGGTACTTCATCTTTATCCAACCATTGTGCCAAACAATTCTGATTGTCAAAAAGAATCAATTTTTTAAAAATGGGCAAAAATATGGTTGTGTGATTTCTCTAGGCATATTGGGCTGTATAAATGCTGATGGGGAGGAGAAGGAATAGCTGCACTTATCCAGGAGAAGCTGTTTAATAATGGATAACAAGGAATTGCTGAATGAATGGCAGGTTTAATAACTGTCCCTAAGATCAAAGAACTGAAAAATTAAAACTATGATTTCAAACAAGATGTATCAGACTTAACAGACTCTACTCTTTCTACTGACTTTGCCATCTTACATATGGAAAGGCACACCTTTGAAAGAGTAGAGTTCCAGATGCTAGGAAACTCTGACTGTTAGAATAATCTGGAGTCTTTCTGGAGAAGGTTATGCTAGAGGTGGCATCAGTGTCTGTACATATGGATAAGGCAAGTCCTGATGTCCTCAGGGGAATCCATGCCACCAGTTAAGCATTCAGAAAATTTGCATCAAGCGCTTTGTATGTGTTTAGTTCTGTCCCCACTAAGCACTCTCACAAAATCGAAACTCCTTGAAATTAAAAATGTTGTCATTTAACTTTTTGCCCTTAGTGACTAGGGTTGCTTAAAGATAGTTTAAAAAATTAAAACCTAACCTATAGAAATATATATAGTATATAGTGTATATTAGAAATATGTATAATATAGTAGCATTATATGTAGTATTTATTATACATAATATAGAGCATATAACATAAAATATATTATAATATATATCACATAGAATTATATATTATATATAATATATATTATATATAATATAATAATTAATACTATAAATACACAGAAAAATCATAGATTTCTAGACATATTCATAATCTCTTATTCAAAAATATATAGATGCACTTATATTTAGGCACTAGTCCTTAAAGTGTACAGTGTACGTTGTCTCCTTCAGGTTGTAATACACACTGGGAAAGAAATGGGTTTAGAAATTAAACATAAATAGATAAACTTTTGCCATACACTCTCAGTCATGACTGAACTAAAGTATCCCCAAAATAGTGTTTTATATCTGACTTCTGTTTTCTCCTGTAATAATGTAAATATGCCTATGAAGGAAAATAAATGAGATTAAAGGGGGCATAAAGATGAGACAGAAAGGGTCTGTGGATAATTGAAGGACTGACCCAAAAAAGGAACAGACAGAAGTAATCAGCTGGCTCTATAATTTTCAGAATTACCTCAATTATGAAAAAAAATCATTATAGAAAAATGCATTAAAACAAATGAAATAAATTGTATGTGATATATTGGAATAAAAACCCAGAAAACCAAAGAAGTCCAGTAAATTCCAAGAACTTTGCCTCTGTGTTCCTGAAGGACAGAGTCTAGGCAACCATTCGCTCTATGCAAAACAACAGCAGACCCTAGCCCTATTGCAGGGCCAATTGCAACACTAGTTCATCATTGAGAGTGAGACTGGCTTTGGAGTCAGAAGCCCTGGACCAAAATTCAGCTAGAATCTTAAAACTCAGTGATTTAACATGAGGCAAATCAGTGTGTGCGCATGTATATGCATGTGTGTATATGTTCACAACTGGCTGAGAGGATGCAAATAAAAGCAAACTGAAGAAAATTTTGAGATAAGTGTTGGCTGAAGAGAGGGCAGTCTGACAGATAAAGGAAGGGTTGGAGTTAGTAGAGAAATGGGGATGGAAGAGGCAATAGCCCAGGTGGCACTGCATAACACTCCACAGGGGATTATTTACAGAGAAGTTGTGAAATCTTTGCAGAATCATGATTGCCCCAGGCACCACCAGAGGTTTGAGTTGTCTTCATAAGCGTTCTGCACACTAGTTTCAAGGAAGGGAAGGAGCCCAATTAATTCTGAACTGGAGCACAGAGGTTGATACCGGTAACAAATTAACCTTAAAATGTTTTGTGGCCCTCTACATAAAAGCAAACACTGTATTGAATTATTTATGTAAAATTTTTCATTAAATCCCGGCAGAAATTCTAGTGAAGGATATAATAAATACAGATGATAATGGTCTACATAGTGTCATGCAGTTCTGGAAAGCAAAGATGAAAAGAAAAAGTAAAATGCAGGTGTTATTATTAGATATAAAAGAAGGCATATACTGTGGGGGGAGAGACATAGTGCATGGATAAATATAAAATAAAGATGGGATGGAGGAATACATAGGGATTTCCTTGGAAGATAGAGAAGGAGGGGGCTGAAAAGTTAAGGAAGATGAAAAGGAGAAGAAAGATGGTGGAGATAAGAATGAGGGTGAAAAGGAGAAGACAGGGTAAAACACATTCAGGTAAAGAAAAGCAGAGTCAAAACTAGCGTCACAGAGGGGGAAAACAGCAACCGACTATTTGCATAGACCAGTGCTTCAGCAGGCCTTGGGGGTCTAGACAAAGAACATTAAAGATTTTCCAAGAAAACCTCCAGTAGGGATAAGCCAAATGATTCTTCCTGAGTGAAAGCCACCAGAATTTTTGGGATGAGGGGTCAGCAGGCTCAAGCAAGTGAAGGGCTTTCACATAACATCAAAGTATATTTTTTGAAAGAGGCTGAGATCCTGTTAGGAAGACACGACACAACATTTATAAGTGGACTGCACTCCCTTTCAAAGAATCTTCTGTGTCTAAGAAATTAGAATTTGCAAAATAACTTCTTTGTATTCATGTTTCCCAAACAGAAAATTCTCATCCTACAGCAGAGAAACAGGAAACAAAATGAGCAAGGAAACCCACCTGGTCTTGTGTGCCTAATTCCACCCCAAGCTCAGAGTTCCCCGACCAGCTCTCGGGGTATCTTTCTCCTTTCTCACAAATACCTCGGTGAAAACAAAGATGCCCGTACTATCTCTCACAGACTGCTTATTTATGTTTTTGTTTGTGGCCTCGTAGAAAAATAGATTATTTTTTTCCTTGGTTGAAGATTTTTAATCCACATGCCGAAGATCAGAAAGGGTTTTGAGGGTATACAAGACTGCTTGAAAGAAGATTGACATTCAATCTCCATATTCACTCATTCATTGTTTTATTTCTTCATTCAACTCATATGGAAAAGTTAAGCTGTGCCTTACATGTGCTCAAGGAGTTTATGAACAAGAAAATATTCCTTTATGTCAGGGAGTTTACTGTCAAGTAGGAGAGATAGACATTATGTAATGTGTAACTAACTGTACTGACTTTTAAGAAGGAAAAGAGCAGAAATGTGAAGACAGCATACCAAAGAGTCTTAAGCTATCTGGGTATTTGGAAAAGGCTTACTTGAGAAGGGTAGATAGGCTTTGGTTAGGCAAAGAGAGACTTTACAGTGGGTGAGGAAAAGCGTAAAGAACTGGGAAGAACAAACGTAGAAACTTTATATCTGGAAATATTTCAGTGAGATCCAGGAATTTAAAGACTATGAATTTGGCTGGATTAAATAGACCAAAGGTAAGAGTAAATGACATGAGTTGGTGCTGAAGAGGGAGGGGCTGGATCTTGCTGCACCTTGCAGGCCTAGAATTTTAAACTTTGTTTTAAGTACAATGGGATCCCTTAAAGTCATTTTGCTTGGAATGAATAACTTGATTTGCTATTTTTTGGAAAAAAGTCTATTCTGACTGCAGAATGAAGACTGTATTGGAATGGGGCACTAGTGCATGCAGTAAGATCAATTAGAGAGCTGGGAAGAAATAGGATACATGATTTATTGGCTCAAGGAAGACAAAGAAAGGAGATAATTTTTTTCATGTTTTAGAGATAAGTTTGGAAATTGCTCAAGTGTTGATTTGATGAAGGAAGAGTTTTTAAATACGGCTCCAAAATTTCTGATGTATTAGGAGACTAACAAAAAGTCCTATCTGTGGTTATTCTCTTGAGCCAATAACCTTTATTCTCTGTTTCTTGCTACTTTAAAGTGAGGTTATGGAAAATTATAAATTGTTGAAATTTTTGAAGATTAAATGATAATATGAGCAAATTGTCCACTAATGTGTCTATTTTGCACATTCAGTTCATTACAAACACAGTGGAATAGATACCTAGGCAGGTGATATATATCTATCTTTACACACACATGGAGATGTGTGGGTGGGTTTGTGATGGCCATGTGATTGTGTGTGGGTATGTGTGTGGTGATGGTAGTGTGAATTTGGTGGTTTTTTTAAAAATTTATTTAGCAAAATAATCTATGTTAAGTCTTTGTTTATGGTTGCTTCTTTTCTGCCAAACTTTGAGAGCTATCAAAAGAGGAGTCTAATTCTCTACTATCCAAACACTTAATATTTTGTCTTTTTTTTTTTTGAGATAGGGTCTCACTCTGTTGCCCGGGCTAGAGTGCCGTGGCATCAGCCTAGCTCACAGCAACCTCAAACTCCTGGGCTCAAGCAATCATACTGCCTCCTGAGTAGCTGGGACTACAGACAGGCGCCACCATGCCTGGCTAATTTTTTGTATATATTTTTTTAGTTGTCTAGCTAATTTATTTCTGTTTCTTTAGTAGACACGGGGATCTTGCTCTTGCTCGGGCTGGTCTCGAACTCCTGAGTTGAAATGATCCTCCTGCTTTAAGTGCTAGGATTACAGGTGTGAGCCACCATGCCCGGCCTTAATATTTAGTCTTATCTCCATTTTTCAGATAAAAAATTAAATCAAAGAGAAGGGAGGTCATCACATGTGACTTTCTAGGAGCAAAAGAAAAAAATATTTAGATGCTTGTTTTTAATATTGCTCTTCCCTCTGTCATTCTATTTATACTTTCATAAAGCCATTTACCTGTTTATATGAAAATATATTTTCAACTTAAGAGCTGTGAGCTAAGTGGGAGAGTCCAGCCTCACCCGATAGTGGAACACCATGATGAACTTGAATTCATCGCATGTCAGCCACCACAGTTTCATTCTGACAGGTATCCCAGAGATGCCAGACAAGAACCCTCAGATGGCTTTTCCTTTGGGATTTCTTTATGTACTAACACTCCTGGGAAATGGTACCATCCTAGCTGTCATCAAGGTGGATCAGAGTCTCCATGAGCCTATGTACTACTTCCTCTGTATCTTGGCCATCACTGACATTAGTCTCTCCATGTCCACCTTGCCCTCCATGCTCAGCATCTTCTGGTTCAATGCCCCTGAGATTTCCTTTGACACATGCATCACACAGATGTTCTTCATCCACGTATTTGGAATAGCAGAATCAGGAGTCCTAGTGTCCATGGCCTTTGACAGATTTGTGGCCATTCGAGACCCACTACACTATGCTTCCATCCTCACCCATGGCATTATTGGAAAGATTGGAATAGCTGCCCTCATCCGGGCAATCTGTGTGGTCTTCCCTGTGCCCTTCCTTATAAAGCGGCTACCCTTCTGCCATTCCAATGTCTTGTCTCATTCATACTGTCTTCATCAAGACATAATGAGGCTAGCCTGTGCCAGCACTCGCGTCAATAGCCTGTATGGCCTCATCGTAGTCATCCTCACACTGGGGCTCGATGTCCTCATCATTCTCTTGTCTTACGTACTCATCCTGAAGACTGTGCTGGGCATTGCCTCCAATGTGGAAAAGCTCAAAGCCCTCAACACCTGCCTTTCTCATGTTTGTGCTATTCTCCTCTTCTATGTCCCTTTTATTGGTGCCTCCATGATCCACAGATTTGGGAAGCATTTATCACCAGTAGTGCACACACTCATGGCCAATATCTACCTGCTACTCCCGCCTGTGCTAAACCCCATTGTCTATAGTGTGAAAACCAAACAGATAAGAAGACGGATCATCCACATTTTCCAGAGAAAGAACAGGGCCTAGTAGAATGGAATCACATGGAAGATGCAGAATGAGTAGCCACTGGAAGAATTAATATTAATATTTCAATTTTCAACGGTTACAGTGCAGTCAAACTTTACACATCTGGAAAATGCAAGAGTGGACAAGGCGTGTGAGTGAAGATACAAAACAGGTTATTCTTGTTCTGTATATACTTTATTTTGGAATGTATGCATTTTGGTGTCTGATAAATAATATCTAACCTAATTAAGTAATATCATATGCTTCTTTTAAACTGGAGATGAGCATCAATGAGAAAAAAATTATCACCTGTTTATCCAGATAATACTTATGAGTGTTTACTCTTATAATATTAAGTAATATTTTCCTTAGTTATTAATTAAATACCAATTACAGTAAGAAGGATTCAAGAAGCCCTTTAGCACTGCCTGCCAAAGGACAGGTTATCTGAATACATTTTTTTTCTTCAAACAGAGGAAAGAAAGCTGCTATAGGACCAAAATTATTTACCTTATGTTTAGGTATTCATTGGGTGAAGGATGTCTACTCTGAAATTAAAGCAGTCACAACTCTGGTTCCTTGATCCATACCTTCTCTTTTAAGTGGTACCCTTCCTTTACAGATTCATCACACTTCTAATTTTCTGCCACATACTTAGTAGACTAATAGGAATTTTGCCTTTGTACTTTTGACCCAGCACAAGTGACATCAATTTTCCCACGTACTACAGGATCCAGTAAAACTTTACTGAATAAAATTACTTCTGGGCTTGTATAAGGCAAGTGAAAATTCTCAGCACAAGGAAGAGGTTTAAAAATGTAGTGTACATAGGTGTGGAGTGAATATGTCAAAGGAAATGTGCTTTTGCATTGAGGATAATATCTGCTTTAAGAATTGTGATAATCATTATATAACCAAGTTGCTAGGGTGATTATTTATTCATTCAATAAATATACATTGAACACAGATGAAATGTCAGTCATGACGTTAGACTGTGGAAATACAGAAAAAATTGCAGCAATTTTCTGATCAATCTTTGAAATATTCCTCTGTAAAGAAACATGTTTATAGACAACAATGTAAGCAGGTGTTACATCATTGTATTAATAATATCATTTATTTTGTTAATACGAACTAGAAATGCTAGCAATTTATTGGTATAGGTTGTATCGGTAAATACTCTAAACAACCTTTGCTCTGTAACCCAGGGTAAAGTGCAGTGGTGTCATCATAGCTCACTGCAACCTCAAATTCCTGGGCTCAAGTGATCCTGTGCCATTTGGACCAAACAAAACTAGCTTTAAAAAGAAGTTTTGTTGGTAATTCAAGCTATCATCACAGTTGTTCAGAGTCTGTGTTACCACAAATGTCAGACTTCTCTACTCCTTTTCCTGAGCAACGTTGATTTCTCCCGCAACAGACCTTCCCCTCCTAAAATCTTGCCCGCACACTGCAGGCACTGTGCGCTATTACTGCTCTGTTTCTAATGACAAGAGAATTGCTGTTGCACGTCTGGTTTAGAACATCCACTGAGCCCTTTCTACTCAGTCAGGAAGCCAATTAAAATGGGGAGAGCTGGTGAGAGGTATCCTGTCCCTATCTGCTTCCTCTAGACCTCGATCCTCTTTTCAAACCATTAGCTTTCAATTGAGCTGGCACATGCAAGAAGCAGAAATCGGCACAAGTAAAATTTACTTTTTAATTTCTTCCTGAGGTGTAGTTTTGTACAACTTTAGGGCCATGTTTAATTTGGATTACAATGTAAATTTCTCCTAGAAATTAGGTAAAACACAGCCCTTACTTATAAATTTCTCTAAGACTTCTATCTGATTTCTTAGAAAAAACCAATTCCCACCTAGGAGCTCTGATTTTTGTTGATTCGTTTGCTTATTGTTTTTCTTCTTTCTGCCTCTTTTACTTTCTGGCTCAGAAATAAACCCAAAGTTGTTACTTATATTCTTCTGTTTCTGTTTCCTCATCTACATAGTGTAATTGGATGATCACCTCTCCTTACATATACCGAAATGCAGTGCTGCAAAGACCTACAGGAAATATTAGGGCTGGCATCTGAAGGACTTCTAAAAACTAGAGAATTCCAAATCTTTCCCATGATGATCCATACTTAAGAGAGACACGTTGAGAACTAGAAACCGAAGACTGAGAGTCCAGCTTCATCTGGCTTGGGGTGGGGTGAAGGGAAGGACACTGCTCTGCAAAGTCAGGTATCACATCCCCTGGGCCTTTCTTTCCTCAGAAGCCCTGGCCTCAGAAGACAGAGCAGGATTAGCCAGTGACTTCAGGATTAGAGGAATGAGAGTGAACATTAAAACAGGCCACATGAGAGTGGGGAAACAGGACCTCACATGCTTTCAGATTTCAGCCTCATCATCTTCCAGGGTCTGGACTATGGGTCTGCACACACAGCACAAATGCCCGCAATAGTCAACAATGGGAGTACTGGAAGTATGTGTTTTAGTTCTCAATTTGCATGCCTGTGATCTCCATTGGAAAGAAAGATACTTGTTTCCACACGCTTACCGGTGCTTTCTCTGTGTTAGTATTTCTGAGATCTGAGGTAACCAAAGCACCATTGTTCCTTGTGGAGGGGAAAGAATGGGTGCAGACACAGAGCCAGGACACTGGAGTGCAGAGGATGGAGTGGACATGTTGAGAGCAGAATGGAGCAGGTGCTGTGGGAGCAGAGGGCTGAGTTCTAAAGAAGCACTGTGGGGAGGCCCAGGTGGGAGGATCACTCGAGGTCAGGCGTTCGAGACCAGGTTGAGCAAGAGCGAGACCCCTGTCTCTACTAAAAATAGAAAGAAATTAGCCAGACAACTAAAAGTATATAGCAAAAATTAGCTGGGCATGGTAGCACATGCCTGTAGTCCCAGCTACTCAGGAGGCTGAAGCAGGAGGATCGCTTGAGCCCAGGAGTTTGAGGTTGCTGTGAGCTGGGCTGACGCCACGGCACTCTAGCCCAGGCAACAGAGTGAGACTCTGTCTCAAAAAAAAAAAAAAAAAAAGGAAGCACTGTGGACTTTTATCTCTTTCTCCCAGGCACTAAGCAGTGCACTGGGTACACATTAATTAATCAGAAAATGTTGTTTTGATTAAATGTCAGCATACTAATAACACTATGTTTGGCTCTGTGCAGAGTACGCAATAGTGAAGAAGGAGTTCCTTGTTCAAGGTACTCTGGAAGTGAGTCCTGAGATCAAAGCTTGGCTCCAATTAACATTTAATAATCACAAGAAGCTAACTTAGCAAAGGACTTCCTTTGCTAAGTTTCTGTCTGCCCTGGCTTAGTCTGTGTGATTGTAGACTTGAGTTGCTTGAGGGAAGAGAGACCCTATGATGATTCTGCCCATCTACAAATGGGAAATCAAGTCCCTGGATAGCTTCTGTAAATGACTGTGGACACATTTGAGTTTAGTCACATATCTGATTTCAAGGGCACAAGGATTCTGCAAGAAATGAGGAGAATCACCTATTGTCATTAATACAGAATATTTAAGGTTGCTTACAATCATGATAGAGCTTCACAGTTTAAATAATTGGTTTCTATACTGGGGCTGGAATTATAGGTATTCAGTATTTTGGTTTTGAGTGAAAATCATACAAATAGATGCACTGCCTGTGAGTTTCTATTTTTCTCTATTCTATTAATATCCTCTATCCTCTAGCAGAATGCTGGATAAAGAATAATTGCTTAATGCATTGCTTAAAAAGAAATTTAAAATGTTACAAATATTTTAATTTTTATAAAAAGAAGTGAGAGACAATTTGCTATTTGTATAACAAATTTATTTTATTTCATGACATCCTTCAAAATTTTAATTTTGTGGGGACAACAAAAGGAGTGCTCCGGACTGAAAGGTCTGGAACTGTATTCAGTTTTGGAGAGATGAGGCAAAAATGGACCTGCATATGCCATCTTTTGGACAGTATTGGAATTGTTGCAGCAATGATATCGGACATAGTAAACTTTCAAATTTATTCATTCGTTATGTGGCTTTTTTTTTGGTTGTGTGCTAGGTTTTAGGACTAATGAATGAACAACTGCACTGTACTTTTATGGAAGTTATACTTAAGCTATAGAGACAGATGATAAATATAAGTAATAAAATATTAATAATTATATATCGTGGTGATTGGGAAGAAACAAAATATTTGAATCGATGGAACAAATATGTGGCTCGGTATCTAGTTAAGACAGGTAGATTAAAAAACATCTCCCTGGGCAGATCGCATTTGTTGAGACCTGGAGGATGACAGGGAACCAGAACACCCTGCAGAAGAACCACTGGAGAAGTGAGAAGGGTGAGAGAAAAGCTCTAAGACAGGCAAGAGGTTGGTGCGTGTGACGGTATAAGACTAGAAGGGCTGGAGCAATGGAGAGAAGAATCGATATACCAGGGGAGGTATATTGAAAACATAGCATATACTACTCAGCAAAAATAGGAAATATACTACTAATATACACAACAGCATAGGTCAAACATTATACTCAGCAAAATATGACAGACTCAAAATAATATATCATTATTCTTCTATTTGTGTATAATTCTAAGGCCCTCAAAATCAGCGTATAGTGAAAAATACCAGATAAGGGTTTCCTGGTTGTGGTGGAGGGGAGCTGATTGACTACAGAGGGGCAGGATAAATGTTTATGAAGTAATGGAAACATTCTTTATCTTGATTGAGGAGCCGTTGACTACATAGACATTAAAACTCATCAAACTATGTATTAAAATCCTGCATGTTATTCTTGCAAGTTATACACTAATAAAGCTAATTTTAAAAACACAAAGAAAGAATCTCACATTGATTAACTAATTTTCTGATTAAAGGGATTGTGGTCCCTTGAACTTTGAAATTTGGGAAGAATAAAAATTCTCCTTCAAAACACCCATTCTGGCCAGGCATGGTGGCTCACACCTGTAATCCTAGCACACTGGGAGGACAAGACCAGAGGATCGCTTGAGCTCAGGAGTTCAAGACCAGCCTGAGCAAGAGTGAGA